TTTTGGTGCGTACCACTGAGCCACAGGTGATCCCACGATGACAGGGGGAGAGAACTCCGAGCGCTCACTCCTGATCTGATTTCACTGTAAAGTGTATTGATTCATGATAGGGACGCATGCTGCAATTACTGCACGGCCCCTGGATGCTACTGTCAAGAAGGGAGGTCTGTCTGCTTGTAGGAGAGTAAGTGAAATGAATTAGCAGGTAAAGAGGAGAAACGGTGATAAAGTGGCCCACGGGGAACTGTTATGGAAATGAGGGAGGAACCGAGAGGAGAACGGAGGACGAGCGGACGCAGAACAAACGGGCGAATCTGTGTCAACTACAACGGTCGTTAGGCTGAACACATCACTGGGACGAGACCGAGATGTTTTTTGACTGAATATTTTACATAAATGTATTCTGCCTTCGGTGCACACGTGTTGTAGTCATATTATACACAGAGGTACTACAATTCATGGAAATGATGCCGTATCCCAATTTTAAAAGTTGTGAGGGTGAATTTAGCTTCTACTCTGTCGTTGTTGATGATCCAGAAGTACGAGTACCGGAGCAGTACTCGTACTTCTTCCTTTACTTCCTTCTTCTCTGCTGGTCCTCAAAATATAGAAATATATAAATATTTGTCAATCATTTTGGGAAATTAATCAGATTACAACGTCTTACGCACATGGTGCAGGGCGGAGAAACGACATCTACCCAATAAAGAAGAGGAACCACATGCATGGCGCCTCCAAGGGGCAGTCTATGGCAACACATCTACTGTAAACGACACGAGAATTTTTTCCCAGTGTGGATCAAATTAAATTCCACAGCCAATCCGTTTACCCTTTGTCCTAACAGACACAACACAGGTTGTTATTTGAACTCACTGCTGGGAAAAGGTTTTTGTTTCACCAAAGCATCTTTGAGCTTTAAATACCATCTTAACAACAGTGTCCACAGGGGCTCCACCTACAGGTCAAATTCTGTAAGACCAGCCTCTCCAGAGCATGACAGTAAATAAGTCTGCGACTGACCAGGTGATTAATATCGTTAAGGACAACGACTTCGGCAAAGTTTTGAAAGCACTTCTCAACATAACGATTAAATTCCACCAACACGTTTTTGTTCATTTTTCGAAAAACTGTGACAAAGGAAAAATGTATGATGTAAGAAATGGTAAAACACACTTACCTGTTCTTTGTCTTTCTGATTCAGCAATATGTAGCGTTTGATTAATCGCGATTAATCGTGAGTAAGTGAGTAGGTAATACTGTAAACTCTTAATCACGATAAATCGTGATTCAACCCAAACTACCCTGAATTAATCCGATTTATTTTCTTTATTTGACAGCCAATATAAATTGACGTTGTATATATATAAAAAAACATATCTTGACTTGAATTCATTGCAGCTTTAATGAAGCGTTTTTAAAACATCCGCTGACCTTAACGGAGCGGTGCGTCTTATACGAGGGCGGGGCTTATTCCCATGAAATACAATGAATTATTCAGTGCACACACCTTGTGGTTGCGTCCGTGCTTGTAGAGAAGCGATATGATGGACTTGATGTGTCCTTTCTGGATAATGTTAAGGGCCTCCGGGCTCTCGATTAGGATGCAGTGCAGGACTTCCAGGATGCCTGCACAGCAGCAAATTCATCAGTTAGTTAAAACCCTCCGAGGACAGAGGAGGACACTCTCAGACATCCCAGACATCATTTGCTGCTTTCTCCTTGTTATGCCGTGGAGAGGACGACAAGAGGACGTACCTGAGGAGGACTCCAGTCGCTCCAACTTGCTCACCAGCCAGTCCAGGTTGTTGGAAAACTGCGTGCAGTTGTTCCTGTTCCCTCGGATTAAAGCGGCTGCAGGACAGAGAGGAAATGCCCGAGGTGGACTAATTGAATTCTCGAGAGTTAGAACAGCTTATTTTGAATTGGAAGTTTTCCAAATGGCAACAAAGAGAGAAACGGCACAAAAACAAAAATAAATATATAAAAACCACACACCTGGGAGGATAAACACACCCATACATGCTCTGCAGCACAAAAGACAGGGTCAACAAACACAGACAGACACTGAGGGAAGCAGGGAGGCACATCCTACATTCACTTAGTTTGGTGCCAGAGCAGGTGTGTGGGGGGGAGGGAGGGAGTGGGGAGACGTGGATGGAAGTCTAATGGGAACGGCGGCGAGGGGGGGGGCAGTGAAATAAAATGTGAATGAAAACGTGAAGGACACACACTCTTTGATAGCAGCAGGGCCGTCGCTCCACAAAACAAAAGATTGGGATTTATATGAGGACTGTCCAGATAATCACCCTCTAAATTGGGACACATCCCGAACCTCCGCAGGAAAAGGCGTTTACTGCCCCGCGGCTCGGACAGGCTTTTACTGTCACGGCCGCTGAAGGACACGTTCAAGTGTGTTTATCTACAGCGGGTAGCAGGAATTTAAAAGACATTTTGCAGAGATGTCCTGATGTGACAGAGCATATGCCAGAAGAGCAAGAGGTTAAAGACTTTGGAGATGGAGGACGGAGGACGGAGGATGGAGGACACCGGGCAGGGAGGAAGCTACAGCACAGAGACAGTGATGAAAAGCTAAATCGAGCCCAAAAAGCCATCTGGCCAATTGGGATACACAGGTACCTGTGTGTGTATGAATGTGTGTGTGTGTGTCTCTGATGTAGAATTGATTTGTGGGGCAGACGCCGTAGAACAGGCCTGGGCAAACTAAGGCCCGGGGGCCAGATGTGGCCCGTTCAGCTTTTTAATCCGGCCCTCCAAACTTTTCCAAATTATATATATATATATATATTTATATTATTATCATTATACTTCTGCCTTTTCCTGGTCGGTTCTATAGTGTTAGCGGTTAGCACGCCTGCCTCGGAAGCAGATAGTCCACATGCCTGCTGGGGGCAGCATGTTAACAGCATCTGATGCTAACACAAGAATTTCCCAAATATATAGTTCCAATTTTTTTTTCCTGCAATACCCACGTTTCCCCAGTAGATGGCGCAGAAAATGATAAAAAGCAATTTAGCATTTTAGCCTTTGGGCATGACTTTTACATGTCATTTATCTTAGTTCACACAAACGCTCCTGACCCGCCTCCCCCCGTACAATTTTAGGACAATAGCGTCACGCGAGTCAAAAAGTTAACCCACGCCTGTCGTAGAATCAACTCAAATATATTACACTGGAGGTTACATGTGACCCACTCTATGGGCCAAGTGAATTTATGTGGAGGTGTGACATTAACGATGTGTGCACATATGTCGTATTTGTCACGAGTGATGTCTGAAAAACCCAAAAAGAAAAAAAATCAAAAAATCAATCCAGGCAGAATAAACTGCTCCAATCGCAGCTCTTTCTTGGAAATGACGAATCTCTTTTCTGTGATTGATTACAGTGGAACAGCTTGAGTGTGTGTGTGTGTGTGTGTGTGTGTTCTACATGCTTCTCACCCAACAGCTCATACAGCAGATTCAGAATGTCCTTCCAGGCTCCTCCAGCCTCAGACCCGGCACACTCGCCAAAGTGGGCTGCACTGTTGTACACGTTCAGACGGTCGATGCAGTTGGACACCAGAGTCAGCATGCCCTTGGAAATGAACGGGGATTCAACTTCAGATCATAACTTATTCATAAGCATAAATATTATAAGGCGACTACTATGGAATATGAGCATTTCAAACATACGTACTGTACCTTTAACACTAATGGATGATAGTGTTATATTACTGAAATGTCCTAAATGCTGCCTCTAGAGCTATCTTACCTTCCCTACTACATGGCTGTGTCTTAGTGAGATATGCTATGATAAACTCAAGGCTTTAAAATGTATAAAAATTGCTGGAAAATGACTGTCCTATTCTATTTAAGATTTAAAAAGTCATCAGGTGAAGGCGCTTCAATTTACAGCTGAACTGGAAACAGGTCAGGTAGAGACCGACTCTATCTGTCGGAGGGACAGAATTCTTCTGGATAAACACCTTGGGGGCCGAACAGTCAAATAAAATGAAACAGGAATCACACCTTTGTCTAGCATTACTATTTGAAGTTTTTTTTTGGAATCTACTTGGGGCCCTGATTGACAGTCCAGCGGGCTGGAATTGGCCCACAAGCCACAGGTTGATAATTACTGGTATAAAGTATAAAAGCATGTACCAAAAACTAACACTTTGTTATTAAAACCGAAGGATGTGACCTTTCACCTGTCTCTCTCATAACCTTTAGGAGGTTTATCCATCCATCCTTTCATCCATCCATCCATCCATCCATTCATCCATCCATCCATCCATCCATTCATCCATCCATCCATCCATCCATTCATCCATCCATCCATCCATCCATTCATCCATCCATCCATCCATCCATTCATCCATCCATCCATCCATCCATTCATCCATCCATCCATCCATCCATTCATCCATCCATCCATCCATCCATCCATCCATCTATCATCCTTCATCCATCCCTCCATCCATCTGTATATCCACCCATCTATCCATCCATCCATCATCCATCCATCCACCTCTCTCTCGCTCTCTCTCTTTTTCTTTCTGTCTCTCTACCTTCCCATCAGTATCCAGCCGTACATCCATCCATCCATCCATCCATCCATCTCTACATTTACAGGAACACCGTGTGTTGCTCTATGCTCTGTGGTGACAGGTGGCGCCACAGCGATGCTGCCTGTAAGAATTACTAAGGGTTAGGATGGTGAACCCGGCGGCGCCCTCTCTCTGCAGGGCAGCTGATACGTTGTAATTGATGAAAGCAATTTAGGTCCTGGAGTGGTAGCAGAACTGGTGCCAGACGGTGGACAACGTACAGCACCAAAAACTGCTGACGTCTTCAAAGCTTCTAAAATAGAACAGCACTGAAACCAACCAAGAAAAAAAAAAACAACCCAATGAATTTCACCGTGCTCTGCAGCTGCACTGCTCACGGCCAACTTTCTCTTCACTTTTTTTTTTTTTTGTATTAAAACTACCTTAAAAACAGCCATTTACAGTGGGTGCAGTGAAGTTCTGCTGCTGTGCAGAACAGCTCGTTCTTTCATGAACCATTACTGGTCTGCGTGGCTGACACTCACTTCCTGTTTGAACAGGTTCTGTCTGTTCTTCAGCGAGCGCAGCTTGATCTGCCTCTCCTCGTGCTCCAGCTCGGCATCGGGGACCTGGAAATAGGTGATGAGGTCATTGAGGGTTTGGAGCACCTCCTCGATGGGCAGGGCGACCAGGGTTCTGTTCTTAACGCCCAGACAGTCCAGGTCTCTGTGGGGGGGCGGGGGGGGGGGGAACAGATGAATTAATGTTACAAAATCTCACACAACACTCAGCTCTGATGCTGTGGAGTTGTCAATAAACCAGTGGTTCTCAACCTTGGCGTCGCAACCCAACGCTGGGTCGCCTGACATGTTTAGTAATGGATAAAAAAAAAAACTGATAGAAATATTAGTAATTATTTTTATTTTTCAAACTATGCTAAGAAACACCACAAACAATGTTCAACAACTGAATTATTTCTTCTTCATGAATATAAATCTAGTTGAAATTATTCGTCCTGCAATGGGGAAATTTTCTTTCCAACTAACACAGGCTGCCACAGGAGGCGCCATTAAGGGTAAGTGCTTCTTCTGGGAATCGAACCCAGAACTCTCGAGTCTCTGCTTGCAAGGTAGGCATGCTAACCACCACTACGAAACCACAAAATGCAGATTGAAAAAGAAAAAGTCTCTGGGATCTCCAGAAATTTGTGATGTGAAAATGGGAAGACAAGTCAAAGAAAGGTTGGGAACTGGGGATATCCGATAATACAGTTGGCAGCAATATTATCGGCTAATATTAGCATCATTATGTATCGGTAGGAATTGTCATCGGTTTTTCATCCGATAATGAAAACCCGACGGCAATGTCTAGGTTTCGCCCAGATGATGTGACCTAAAAATAGTTTTGAAGTTTTGTCGTTAACCTCAACAGGTACATATATCGGTATCGGTTGATATCGGAATCGGAATCGGAAATTAAGCGTTTGGGCAATATCGGCAAAAAGTTCATATCGAACATTCCCTAATGAGACCCGCTGTAATAAGTTTGGGTCAGATGCATGTGGTCTACTCTCCAAGTGAAAAGTTGGAGTGAGGCTGCGATGACTAACACCGATGTTCATCCATCCTGAAACGCTGATTTCTAATGGTCTGCTAAAAATAGCCTCTGTTGTAAGCGTGGGAGACAGGGGAGGGGAACAGGGGGTGGTGGTGGGGGTAACGTATGTGTCATAGCCCGAAGTGGAAACAGATAGACTCTCACATGCTTCAGACATGAGAGCCACTGAGCGTAGCCCCGAGCGCAGCAGGATGATGTTGTTGTTGTTACAAATTAGCATACAGGAAGCATCTGCGCTGCTGTGCCAAGACTTTCTTGAGTTGACGGCCAGCTGTGTGCTGCTCTGATGTCACCGTAATGTTTGTCGTTTAGGGAAAGCATGAGTGTACCACTGAATGAGCCGTCTGGGGCTCTGGCACCCCCACTCTGTCACAACTCACAGACGACTGAGCTCACGATCTGGGAAGAGATTTACTCCTAATTTTCTGGTCTGTCTCAAGTCAGAAATGTGTTTATAGAATAGATATAACAGGATAACAGGGTGTCTATATTCAATCTGACACCTAGGGGGCACTAGAGCGGTTTGACCAACGATGGGACATTTGTCCTATGACTCATTATCAAAAAGGCTCCCTGGAAAATTTCTGGAATTTTTTGTCATGTAAAAATGTGGCGTCCGTTACAACACACCTGATAAATCTTTTGAACAGTAGGGTGGTGTTGCGGATAATGCGAGCGGCGCGCGACTCTTCATGCTGACAGCGCTGCAGGGTCAGTCCGTCATCCATGTGACCTTCAGAGTGTAGACACGCCTGGAGACAAAAGGACGGGGAGAAGGAGAACGTGACATCATGTCAGGGAGGCGCAAAGAAGGACACACACACATCCTGGTCGTCCTCCACCGCTAACTCAGGCGCTGACACGGAGACAGACACACATTTAGCACCTGCACCTGTATCACTGTGAATGTACAAAGGTCGTCAAACCAGACGCTTACGGCCGAGGCCGGGAGAGATATCGATATTGTAAAAAAAAAAAAAAACTGTTGTTACATATATACGTATATATGTATATATGTATGTGTATATGTATGTGCATATTTATGTATATATGTATGTGTATATGGATATATACATATATGTATATGTATATATGTATGTATACATATATGTATGTATATACCTTGATATGCATATATACATATGTGTATGTGTATATCTATATATCTATGTATACATGTATATACGTTTATATACAGTACATATATACATATATGTGTGTGTGTTGAGCATTGATTGACTTAATTTTGCATTAAAATGACAAAACATGGGTCACAACTTCACACCTCCTCTCCCCCTCCCTGTGGCCCCTCCCCCCACACACCCTTCACTCTCACTCTCACCCATTGCCGTCTCTCTTTATATCTGTACACTTGTTGAATCACATTTGTCTTTAAGCTAGTTTTCAATGGTAATTTATAGTTTGTTTTTTGTACGATAGATATATGGATGGATAATAGCTATATACCACTTTAACTTGAAGAAAAAATGATACGATACGACACGATACGATATGATATGCTATGATACCATACAGTACGATACTGTACGATATGATACGATCTGTTATGATACGATACAATACGATAAGATAAGATACGATACGATACGATACGATACGATACGATACGATGCGATACGATACAATAAGATACGATACGATATGATGCGATGCGATACGATACGATACAACATGATGGTGAGTTTATTTACACCTCTATCGTCTCTCAGTTAAGGAGAGATAGAAGTTTAGACAAAAAAAGCTAAATTCAAGTGACGAAGAACTAATAAGATCTACACCTGACTGGTTGAAAGGTAACACAGGTGAATACCAGGGTTATGTATAAGAGTATAAAAGTATAATTATGTACAATAATGATTTACAAATCTGAATTTTTAAAAATGTATTTCTAAAAACAAACCAGTGATTTTGACTCAGGAAAACTTCTTGTCTGAGTAAAAATCTATTTATCACAGTACAGGTGTTTTGGTCTTGTGTTTGAGACAAAAGACACGTGGTGGTTTCTCACTCACTCGTCTCTTGAGGGGACCCAGACGGGCTGATTTGACATCAGGTGCCTGATAGGAGAGCCAGAGTCCCGTGGCCACGTGCGTGATGAAGCAGAGCGAGTCTCCATATTTGATCTCGGCCACCCCCATGCCCTCGATGTCCCGCTTGGGACTTTGTTCCAGCTTCTCCTGCGGGGGCAGAAAGAACACATCAAAGCTGTCAGTGTGAAATGAGAACGCTGTGATGAAACAACTCTGCACATACGTCCAGAACATGGACGTGAGGCGGAACATTATAAATTACCCAGTTCCAATATACATGCCTTACATCAGGGGTGTCAAACTCATTTTGGTTCAGGGGCCACATACGGCCCGGATTAGTTGTAGAAGTGGGTCGCACCAGACTAATCAAAACATAGTGATCTATAAATAACAATAAGTCCATCCCCCCCCCCCCCCCCCCCCCCCGCCGAGTTAGGTCTCCCACTCCTTCAAAAACCCTGCTGGCAGTGAAGGATCAAGTCGAGAGGAGAGTGGAAGCAAAACACATGCGAGGCTGGGCCTGGGTCTCAGATGACAGCAGCTCTCTACTGTAGAGCCCTGTTATGTGGAATAGGGTGTTGGTTTAATGCCCTTCGCCTCACTCACCCCACCCTCGAGCAAAGGATTTTTTTTTGGAAATGAGTAACACAAATGAAATCATACAGAAGCAAAAATACAGCTGTCATAAAAAAACGGACAAATATTTTTTATATAGTAGTTAGTCTTTTCTTAGAAAACACTATAATATTTACAGTCCAAGGATGGTGAGCAGTTTGTGATGGAAGGTTGGAGCCAAAGCCAGTGTAAAACACATGTGTCAAACTCGTGGTTCATGGGCCAAATTTGGCACACCAAGTCACTTTGTATGGCCCGGCAGAGTTTCTTAATGCGTTAAATTTTTTAATTTTTTTATTACACAGTCATGAAGAAAATTTATGACTTACATAATTAATAATAATTACAAAAACATTTATTGGAGTAGTCACATCTATACAGTCTTTCAATGGGAACTGTATTGTTGATGTGCCCCCCTCTGGTGAGAATGAGTTTGACCCTCCCCTGGTGTAAAGCCTTAGTTGCATCGAGTGGTCACAGCTTGTGACAGGTCACCTTGAGGAATCAAACAAACACATCCCTGTGTGTTAGTGATTTGTTTTTGTTTTTTTTTTCTTGCCTTGGACGCCCTGAAGCAGAAGGCTGTGGCCAGGGTGTCCGACCGCTCCCGATCCTGCAGCACCAAACCTCTGTCCTCGGTCAGCGCCAGGTAGTGCCCGGTGGTCAGGTGCCTCAGACGGAACGGCTGGCCCCAGCGGATGTGGCTGCCGCTCCAGCTGCCCAAGGTCGAGACGAAGGACGACGATTTGGTAAGTGGTGGAAAACAGTGGGTATTAATCAAAGTGAAAATCGTACGTTACTTTATCCTAAGATGGAACATGTTCTAGATGTTAAAACTGTATTGACCAAAAAAAAGATGCATTCTTTAGAGGCGGTCTGGAGTGAACAACAAGGAACAGAGACACAGCGGAAAAACAAGATAAAGAGTCCACAGAGCGAGACAGAGAGAGAGAGAGAGAGAGATAGGTGGGTAGAACTGGAGAAAATAGAGGGGAAAGATTGGCCACAGAGCAGCTTTAAATCAAAGATACTGGAGACAGAGAGAGAAAGAGAGAGGGAGAAATGGAGAGACTAGAAAGTAAAGATTGGCCACAAAGAGAAAATGAGAAAAAAGAGAACGATGGAGAGTGAAAAATATGAGATAAAACAAAGAGAGGAAAAAAAAATGAGGAAAAAAGAGAACGATGGAGAGTGAAAAATATGAGATAAAACAAAGAGAGGAGAGCAGTGAACGGGTCACATGACACACAGCCCAACCTGATTCTGAGTGGCTCCAGCCTCCATAAGGACCTGGCCTTGGCACCGGCTTTACCCGTCTCGTAGTTGACTAGCCTGGGGACGCCAGAGGAGCACAAGTGGGTGGTTTGTCTGAGGATGCGTTCAGTGTCTACCCACCGCTGATAATGTCAAGGTCAATCATTTTGGTCGGCGGAGGAACAACACGTGTCAGCGAGTGTTGTTCGCAGGGAAACGGTTGAACCCAGGAGCACACACACACACACGCACACACACACACACACACAATCACAGGCCGACCCTACTGGGCACGCTCCAGAACAACATCCCTCAAAGAGAGACATGCGTGCCCTGATAGCTCTCAGCAACACTGTTTATCAGTGATAAGGGTGACTGGGTCTAAAGATAAAAGAAGTCACTCATCATCCCCCCCCCCCCACCCCCCGCTGACAGCTTAGAGTACGTCTGGCTCATTAAAATGGAAGACCTCGGAAAACCACACGGCTGCTGCAGGATGGGAAGGTCAACGGGGAGAAAAAAAAAAAAAAAAAAGTCAAAGCCACAAATGAATGCTCCGCTATCACATGTGCCAAGCAGGTTTCTAAAAATAGAATTTGTCAGCGCACGTGCGTGTGCGTGCGTGCGTGTGTGTGTTGCCAGCCTGACCCAGTTCATCCCCGTGACATTTTCTTTGGACAAACACAAGACATGGACACAGCGCCTGCTAGTGTTTAAAGACTGGGGAGGAAAATAAATAAATGCGATGCTATTAAAAGAGCGAAAAACAATAATATGTGGACATCATTATTTAACCTGTCAAATGACAAAAAAAAAAGCTGAAAAATCATGACATAAGTGAAACGTTCCGGGAGGTTCTTCAATTAAAAGGTAACTGGTACTATGAGGAGCATCAACCATATATTTTTTTTAAATATATTTTTTACAAAACACCATCAAAACATTCATCAACCGGGCTGGATTGATCCCCCTGGAGGGTTGGTTTTGGTCCACGGGCCGTATGTTTGGCACCCTTGCTTTACATTGACCTTGAAAAGGTGGCTAACAGGCTAATAGACAATCATTGGCCAAAACTAGAATTTTATGTGTTCAATGCCAAATCGCTGCTTATGTTTACAAAAAAAGGGGGTCAGGGTAAAAAAGCTGTCTTCCTATTAAATAATAAAAAAAAAAAAATAAGGGGGTCAACTTAAGGTCTTCCTATTAAAAAAAAAACCTATAACTTCCCAGCCTGGGATCAATTAAGTATATCTTTCTATCTAAACGTGTCTCGCAGTTTTTTATTCTCAGGGTGAAACGGGTCAGAAAGGACTGTGTAGAAAATAATCTAAAAAATGCTATGCTGACCCCCAATACAGGGAATAGTCAAAATTATGGTTCATGCTGACCCCCGATACAGGGAATAGTCAAAATTATGGTTCGCAACTTTTTGTCAAAACTTCTGAAAGTGTTTTCTTAACTTTTCTCCACCAGTTTTACTTTATATTACACTTGTATTCTTCACTGTTGTCAAACGTGGTGATCACTAACTGAGAGGGCACTGATGCTACATGCTAATGCTACACGCTACACGCAGTTCTAAGGTTTGCTTAACGCTTGTTTTGTCTCTTACCTTTGTTGCTCTTCGCTCTGATCTGATCCTGGGATGGTCAGAACCTCATCATGGCCGTGGAACAGACGCATCACATGACCACCCAGCAGGTAGCCTATCAAAATGGAGGACATACAGTAGACAATCATGTGTCTTGACTTCCTGTCGCAATCTAAAAATGATTTTAATCCCAAAATGATCAAACTAAAGATTCAAAAATGGATTAATTGAAAAAAAAAATTTAATAATTTTTACAAATTTTACTAATTGCACTGAGAATTTGTCTGTTCCGATGAGTTGCATTGGACATCCTGCAGTAAAAATGTGTTTCAAATTTTGGTAATAATTACTGGAAATAATCTTCATATTATTGTTTTTAAAAAAAATATGGGTTTTTTTCTGTGCTGTTTTTGTTTTCTCTTTGTTTTACAGTATATCTCTACCTTCCTCTATGTTGCTGCCAGAACAGATGGGATGAACGTTCCACAGCGTTTGCATGAAGGAAGCATCAACCTGGATATTGCCGTTAGATATGGATAAATGCTGCAACGGCGAGAAGAAAGATTTCATGTTAGACGCATTGGGGAGAAGAGACTTAAAAAGTGAAAAAGAAAACACACTGATGTCGACGACAAGAACTCCATGTCGTCATTAGGAAGTTACCATAAAGATTTAACCAGTTTATTATTTTGTAGTCAAATAATCTTAATCTTACAAGGTATCGCTCTGAAGACACGCTGACGAGGATGAGGTCGTCGCCAATGCGAACTTTCTCTCCTTCCGACCTCTGTTTGGAGGCAGGATGAATCGTCCACCAGCAGGCCTCTCCTAATGGGACACACCAACACATGTAGTACAGTACAGTACAGTACAGTACAGCACATCTATACACACATATATAATATTGATTTAATATAAGGGTAAACTGAAAATCTGAAAATAACGTCGTCATGCTGAAGTTACAGCTGTAACCTGAGGTGCGTTCAGGTGCCATC